GTTGACTCACTGAGGCAAAGCAAAAAGAGAGAGGCTGAGTCATAGAGGTTTTGTTGTTTGTTTTTAATTTTTGTTTTTTAAGTTGCTGGGCCAGTCATTTTGAATTTCTGTGAATCTCCCTTGTCTGTGGCATGACAGCTGTTTCACAGGACATTGAAAGAATAAGTCTCTCTTGCCTCTTTCAAGAAACTTAGTTTGCTCCTGGAGTTCCTTCACTTGCTGTGAGATACCTTGTTCTTCAAAACAGAGGTTTTCCTATTACATTTCATGTGGTAAATATTTAGGGAGTGACTGGGATTTATAAAGTGAGGTAATGTTCTCCCCTATAAAAGGATTATTATAAAATTACAATTGGAATGCAACATAGAGATCCACTAGCACAACTCCCTCATTTTTGAGCAGACAAAACAGGTTTATTAAGTGGCAAAGCTGGGAATCAAGTTGAGTGAATCTTACATTAAATCCAAGAGTCTTTCTCTCATGTCACACTACCCATCTAGGATAGAGAAAAATCTCGTTGTCTCCAGATTTGGGTATTGAATCTGAAGTTTGTTTGTTTGTTTGTTTGTTTTTTAAAACTCTAAATTCAGATTCCTTTTCATTGTAGCATATTTTTTGTCTTATACTTTTCTGAAAGTCATGAAACTTCTGTGAAGACCTGGGGAACAGAAACTTCTTTATTCAATTTTTTTTTTAGTCAATTGGGGTTAAGTGACTTGCCCAGGGTCACACAGCTTGTAAGGTCAAGTGTCTGAAGCCAGATTTGAACTGAGGTCCTCCTGACTTCAGGGCCAGTGCTCTATCCACTGCGCCACCTAGCTGCCCCCTTATTCAATTTATTTTTTATTTCACACTTTGAATCTGAAAGAAAAGAGTGAAAGGGAACAATAGCTCCTAGTAAATATTAAAACCAGATGAGAGGAATATAAGTAAGTCTATGTATACAAGAATAAAGAGCCAGGTAGATAGTGCAGTGGATAGAGCATCAGGCCTACAGTCAAGGAGACCTGGGTTCAAATCCAGCCTCAGATACTTACTAGCTATGTGACCCTGGGCCTGTTTGCCTCAGTTTCCTCATGTGTAAAATGAGCTGGAGAAGGAAATGGCAAACCATTCCAGTATCTTTGCCAAGAAAACCCCAAATGGGATCATGAAGAGTCAGATACAATGAAATAACATATACAAATAATATTCATTTGCAGAAGGTACAGAAACAATCTCTTTAAACTGACTAAATGAACCTGCAGAGACTCCAATTGTTTTATCTTTACAAGAGACAGCATGATATAGTGGGTTGATCACTGGCTCTGGACTCTGGAAGAATTGGATTCAAATCCTTTCATTAACACTTGTTGGCTATGTAATTGTAGACAAGTCACTTTAATTCTCTGTGCTCCTCTTTCCTCATTTGTAAAATAGGGATAAAAATAGCTGGAGTTCCTTCTTTGCATTAGGGTTGTGAGAGTCAAATGAAATAAGATATATAAAATGATTTGCTAACTTTAAAGTATCATATAAATTATTATTATTATTATTATTATTATCACTACCACACAAGACCTACAACATCATTTTCTGATAAGCTGGGCTCACAGTCTTAGGACAGTCACCACAAACTCTATAGGCAAAGTCTGGGTCATTGAATTTATAAGACCTAATAGTCCCTCCTCATCCAAAGAGACATGTGCACTGGACCACAGGTGTGGTCTTTGTTATTTTTCTATTTATAGGATAGCCCTGATGACACAACCCTACTTGAGGTAGGGAAAGTGTTAAAAACTATAAGCAGATGTCAAGTCTACTGGATTCCAAATCCCTTAATGACTGGGGCCAGAACCGGACTGCATTTTTATCATATTGGTGTTGCCCTCAGCACCTAGCACAGACAGGGCTTTATAAGAAGTAGGTACTTAATACCCTTTTTTTCATTATTATTTTATGCTTAAATACAAAATGAGAAAAGGAAAAAAACATTATGTACTCAGCAGACCATAAGAAAGGATTCAATATGAAACAATGAATTTCCATTTCAAGAAAACCTATAAAATAAATACTACACATTGTTTTCAAAGCTGCCCAGCTTTCCTTTGCTTCCTTATTGGTTTTCTTTTGTTCTCTGCTGTGCACTTTTTCTTTTTTCCCCTCCTTCTCCCCCACCCCACCCCAAAGAAGGCTTCAATTAAGCTTGGATATATATACATATGCACAGATACCTATAAACATATATACATATACACATATATACTCATATGCATATATGTAAGACCATACTGTGCTTATTTTTTACTATCATCTGTTTCTCTGAAGGTGGATAGCATCTTCCTTCATAAGTCCAAGTCTTTCCATGGTTGTTGTTGGTTGGTTTGTTTATTTTTCTAAATCAACCAGCTCATCATTTCCTACACTACAGCACTATTCCTTTCTAGATTCAAACAGCATTTTCAAACTTCAGAGGATCTTTAAGATTAATTTGGGTATTTATAATAGAATGACTTTGTTGCTCAAAGTTGTTCTTAATATTGATTTATTTTTAGTTTTCAACATTCACTTCTATAAGCTTTTAAGTTTTGAATTTTCTCCCTCTCCTTCCCCACCTCCCTCCTCAAGATGGCGTGCAATCTGATATGGGCTCTACATATACATTTCTCTTAAACGTATTTTCACATTAGTAAAGAAGTTGTAAAGAAGAATTAAAACCAATAGGAGGAACCACAAGAAAGAAGAAACAAAACAAAACAGAAGGGAAAAAAGAGCAAATAGTATGCTTCCATCTGCAATCAAACTCCATAGTTCTCTCTCTGGATGTGGATAGCATTTTCCATCATGAGACTTTTGGAGATCTCTTAGATCCTTGCATTGTTGAGAAGAGTTAAGTCTATCAAAGTTAGTCATCACACAATGTGGCTGTTACTGTGTACAATGTTCTCTTGGTTCTGCTCACTTCACTCAGCATCAGTCCATACAAGTCTTTCCAGGTTTTTCTGAAGTCCTCTTTGCTCATCATTTCTTACAGCACAATAGTATTCCATTATATTCATATAACACAACTTGTTCAGCATTCCCCAACTGATGGGCATCCCCTCAATTTCTAATTCTTCGCCACCACAAAAAGAGCTGCTATAAATATTTTTGTACATGTGGGTCCTTTCCCCATGTTTATGATCTCTTTGGGATGCAGCCCTAGAAGTGCTATTGCTGGGTCAAAGGGTATGTACATTTTTATAGCCCTTTGGGCATACTTCCAAATTGCTCTCCAAAATGGTTGGATCAGTTCACAAATCTACTAACAATGTATTAATGTTCCGATTTTCCCAATCTTCTCTAACATTTATCATTTTCCTATTTTGTCACATTGGCCAATCTGATAGGTGTGATATGGTACCTCAGCATTGTTTTGATTTGCATTTCTCTAATCAATAGTGATTTAGAGCATTTTTTCATATGACTATATATAGCTTTAATTTCTTCATCTGAAAATGGCCTGTTCATATCCTTTTTGACCATTTATCAATTGGGGAATGACTTGTATTCTTATAAATTTGACTTAGTTCTCTATATATTTTAGAAACAAGGCCCTTATCAGAGACACTGGTTGTAAAAATTCTTTCCCAGTTTTCTACTTCCCTCCTAATCTCGGTTGGATTGGCTTTGTTTGTGTAAAAGATTTTCAATTTAATGCAATCAAAATTATTCATTTTGCATTTCATAATGTTCTCTGTCTCTTATTTGGTCATAAATTCTTCTGTTCTCAATAAATCTGACAGGTAAGCTATTCCTTGCTCTCCCAGTTTGCTTATAGTATCAGCCTTTATATCTAAATTGTGTACCCATTTTGACTTTATTTTGGTATAGGTTGTAAGATTTTGGTCCATGCCTAGTTTCTGCCAAATTTTTTTTCTAGTTTTCCCAGCAGTTTTTGTCGAATAGTGAGTTCTTACCCCAGAAGCTGGGATCTTTAGGTTTACCAAACAGTAGATTACTATAGTCATTGACTATTGTGTCTTGTGTACCCAACCTATTCCACTGATCCACCACTCTATTTCTTAGCCAGTACTAAGTAGTTTTAATGATTGCTGCTTTATAATACAATTTAAGATCTGGTATGGCTAGGCCATCTTCCCTAGCACTTCTTTTCTTTAATTTCCTTGATATTCTGGATCTTTTGTTCTTCCAGATGAATCTTGTTATTATTTCAAAGTTGTTCTTAAAACAATACTGCTGTTACTGTATACAATGTTCCCTTGGTTCTGTTCATTTTGCTCTTCATTATTTCATGGATGGTCTCCCAATGCTTTTCTAAAAATCATTGAGCTCATCATTTCTTGTAACAGAGTAATATTCCATCATGAACATATACCACAATTTGTTTAGCTATTCCCCAACTGATAGGCATCCCTGCAATTTCCAGTTCTTTGCCACCACAAAGAGAGCTGCTATAAATATTTTAGAATATGTAGGTTCTTTTCCATTTTCCCTAATCATCTTGGGAAACAGATATAATAGTTGTATTTCAGGGTCAAAGGGTATAGGCAATTTAATAACTCTTTGGGCATAGTTCCAAATCTCTCTCCAAAATGGTTGGGTCAGCTCACAGATCCACCAAGAATGAATTAAGGTCCCAATTTTTCCACATCTCCTCTAACATTTATCACTTTCCCCTTCTGTCATTTTCCCACTCTGATAGGGGTAAAATGATATTGCAAGGTTACTATATGCATTTCTCTAATCAATAATGATTGAGAGCATTTTTCATATGATTATAAATTATTTTATTTTCTTCATCAAAAAAACTGCCTGTTCATATCCTTTGACCATTTATCAATTGGGGAATCAATACCTTTTAAAAATTGAAATTAATTGAATGGACATGTTGGAGTTGAAGACGAAACATAAAGGTTTTTATTTTATCTTGTTTTAGCAACCAACCAAAAAAATGTAAAAACTTGAAACTGAGGAATTAAAAATGTTTTGATTAAAAATAATTCAGTCTTTTGCCCTAATTTCCTTGTAGTGGAGACAGTACTTCCTCAAATATCTTGTAGAGACCATTGGCATGGGAGAAAGAGCATGGCCTTAGAGTTAGAAAATGGATTATAGAATTTAGAACTGAAGAGGATTTTGGCATCTACTTCAACCTCCTCATTTTGCATAAGTTACAGAGATCAAGTGATTTAGCCAAGCTCACATAACTAATAAGAATGGAGTCCAGTTTTGAATTCTGATCTCCTGACTATAAGCTCAAGCCTCTCTCCATTACAACAGGTTGCCAGCTAAGTGGCCTAGAACAAACCACTTCCTCTCTCCTGGAATGAGTGAATTCATCTGTGAAATGAAGAGGTGGAACTAGATGAACTCGAAGGTCCCCTTTCAGCTCTGTGATTTTGTGATTAGTTATTGTAGTTATCCTGGGTCAAAATAAGAGGGTGCAAACCTAAAAAACAAACAAAATCTACTTCCTGCCTAGGCAGGTAAGGAAGTATTTCCTATGCCAGTCTCCTATTTGCCTTTCCATTATCACCTATAAAGACACCAAGAGTGGCTTCTCAGGAAATCTGGAAAATGACTCTTGACTGGACCTTCCTCAGCAAGTTAAGACAGGACTCTCAACAACAACAACAAAAATATGTTTAAAAGGTGAAACTTCACACGTCTTATAGGTGCGAGGTAGGAAAAGGGATGCTTCAGATCTAGTTTCCTCGAACAAAAGCTGTCTACACTGGGGAAAATCTATACTTTCCCTAGCCCAGTGAGCAGAGTGAGCCACTGGACACTTTGCAAGGTTTGACGTTCCCGTTTTTGCAATCTTCCCCCTGACTTGCAGACCTTCAAGGCTAGCAAGTAATTGTGCAACATCCCCGAGTGCCACAGCTGCCGCTACTGCTGATTCTTGCCCACTGGAAGGGGAGGAGGGAGGAGGAGGAGAGCACAGGGCATACACTCTTTGAACTCCACTTCAGGTTTCAGCTTCTCCTCCCATCCCCTCCTGCTCCCCCGGGTGGAGCCCCAGAGTCATCTGCCCTGAGGGAGGAAAGAAGGAAGGAACTGGAAACTGGGTCTCAGCAATACGCACACCTGAGCCAGCTGTTCTAGACCTGACTGACCTCCCTCACCTCTCCGGTTGCCCATCCCGCCCCTTGGTACTCTTCCCACCTGTGGCTCCAGCGGGCCAAACCACGCCAAATCGGGCCCACCCCGCTGCACCCTGCCCTCTTATTGGCCATCCTGGGGAGTCTGGCTGGCTTGCCCCAGCTCCATAAATACCAGCACATCATTTTCTAGCCATTAGAATCCTCTGAGTAAGGGAGAAAACAACAGCGCCAGCAGCAGCATCCGTCACCTCCAGCACCACCTTGGCGGCAGGTCCTGACTCCAGCCGCATGGGCAGACATCTGTAAATAGACAAACAAACCGGAGAACAAAGACGTCCGCTGCGTGCAGAGCACGCTCTCACTAGAGCTGTTCGGGGCACCACAACCCAGCACCGGTGTCTCCTTTCTCTCTGAACTCTAGGGCAGCTGCAATTTAGTCGCTGTTCCAGCTCTGAGCATCTTTCAATACCTTCGACTTCCTTTGCTGCTCCTCTTCACTTATCTGCTTATCCCCAATTTCGTGCTTTTCTCCTCAATCGTCCAGACCTCTCTGGATCCGCATCCCCGCTCCTCTGACACTTTTAGCTTCTGTCCCACACATATCCGCACACGTACAACCCACACTACTCTCTCCGTCTCACTTGCCTACACTGCTTCGGTCCCTGGAAGCCATGAGTTTGCCTATCAGGAAAACCCCCTATGTAGCTGCCTTCATGAAGCAAATGGGTGGGCTTAGGCAGTCTCCTCAACCTGTCACATTCTCCGTGTGCTCCCCCCAGCCTCCCGAAGTGCCACCAATCTGCCCTCTGATGGTGCCCAGAGAGGTGCAGGCCGCATCTGCACTTCCCGGTCCAACCAACTGGCCCCTTCTGGGCAGCCTGCTGGAAATCCTCTGGAAGGGGGGCCTGAAGAAACAGCATGCTACTCTGGTAAGTGCTCCCTCGACCCCTCTCCTTTTCCTCCTCCCTACCTGCCCAGAGGTACTCTCCCAAAAGTTACAGCAAGCAAGACCCTCTCCAGCTTCCAGGCTGTCTGCAAGCTCTGGTCCTCCAGAAGCTACAGTAAATGGTAGTGGGGGAGAGAGAGACAGAGAGAGGAGAGAGACAGAGACAGAGAGAGACAGAGACAGAGACACAGAGACAAAGACAGAGAGAGACAGGAGAGACAGAAACAGAGACACAGAAAGAGAGACAGACAGGCAGACAAAGACAGACAGAGACAGAGAGGAGAGATGGACACAGAGACACAGAGAGAGACAGACAGACAGAGACACAGAGAGAGACAGAGAGACAGAAAGAGACAGTCAGAGAGAGACAGACAGAAAGAGGGGGGAGGGGAGGGGGAGGGAAAGAGACAGAAAGACAAAGACAGAGAGATGGAGAGACAGAGAGAGACAGAGAGGAGAGACAGACACAGACAGAGACACAGAGACAGACAGACAGACAGAGATAGAAAGAGACAGAGAGGCAGATAGAGACAGACATGGGGGAGGGACAGGGAGAGGGAAAGAGAGACAGAGAGACAAGGACAGAGAGAGATGGAGAGACAGAGAGAGACAGAGAGGAGAGACAGACACAGAGACAGAGAAAGACAGAGACACAGAGAGAAACAGACAGAGAAAGAGACAGAAACAGAAAGAGACAGATAGAGACACAGAGAGAGACGGGAGGCAGGGAGAGAGAGACAGAGAGGAGAAACAGAGACAGAGTCAGAGAGAGAGAGTCAGAGAAAGACAGAGACACAGAGACAGAGAGACAGCAGAGAGGAGAGACAGCCAAAGACAAAGACATAAACAGACAGCCAGAGACAAAGACAGAGAGGGAGAGACAGACAGAGAGAGACAAAGACAGAGAGACAGGGAGAGAGGGAGAGAGAGAGAGGGATGAGGGAACAGGGAGAGTGCTCCTGATCCTCTCTTCTCTTCTCTTCTCTTCTCTTCTCTTCTCTTCTCTTCTCTTCTCTTCTCTTCTCTTCTCTTCTCTTCTCTTCTCTTCTCTTCTCTCTCTCTCTCTCTCTCTCTCTCTCTCTCTCTCACACACACACACACACACACACACACACACACACACACACACACACACACACACACCCCTTTCAAATCTTTTTCCAGGCAGGGTACCATAAGAAGTTTGGCAAGATTTTCCGAATGAAGCTGGGCTCCTTCGACTCTGTCCATCTGGGCTCCCCGTGTCTGCTGGAGGCACTCTACCGTAAAGAGAGCATGTACCCCCAGCGGCTGGAAATCAAACCCTGGAAAGCCTATCGTGACTATCGCAAGGAGGGCTATGGGCTGCTGATTCTGTAAGTCAGGGACTCCAGTGGGAATCTATTTCCCCTTGCTGAAGGGAAAGAACAAGGGTCCATTCCTTGAAGCAAGGGTTTTATCGGGGGGCCTTGAGGGACAGGCAGATGGGAATATGGGAAACAAAACAAAACCCTAGACATGAAGTTGAATCAGTGGCTTAGGCCTCGTTTCCCTCTCTGTAAAATGAAAGGATGACCAACAGAGTCCTTTTAAACTCCAAAACCCTATGTTCCATAGTCATAAGGCTTTCCAGACATGGAGTGCCCTATCTGGAAGAAACCATCCTGGTGGGGTTCCTGATCCCTTTGTAATTAGGGGAAGGGGAAGATAGGGAATTCATATTCTCTGCAGAATCAGTGAGACCTTCACCTGAATTAGCTGGAAATCCTAACCTAATGAGGACAGATTGTAAATTCCAGATTTTAAGGGGGAAAGATATGAGGAGAGAAAGCTGCAGAGGCACATTTGGAAACAGCTACAAACGCCTAACAAAGGAGGAGAGAAGAATGGACTAGCTGGGAAGAGGCACTGGGCTGGACCTATATATGGTCAGGGCTACCTTGCAGTGGGCTGTAACTGGGATCATTTGAGTTTGCAGAAATCAGTCTCTCTTAGGAGTTCCAGAGACATTTTGCCTCAAAACCAAGTCTCCCAATTCTGCCCAATGTACCTTTCCTGTTTTGGCTTACAAAGTGAGGGGAAAACATCATCTCTGAATCAGACCTTCTTGACTTCTCACCCAAGCACATTTTTAGACCATGAGTGAATGTTCTTCCATCCTCCTAAGCAAACTGGTCCCAAGGGGAAATAATAACCACCATAAAACAACATCAGTTATAATGCTCCTTAAAGTTTATAAAGCATTTTACCCAAATTGTCTCATTTGAGCCTCACAACAACCATGTGAGGTGGATACTATACTATTATCTCCATTTTACAAAAGGGGAAACTGAGGCTGAGAGAGATTAGTGATCTGCTTATGATCTCACTACTAGTAAGAATCTGGTCAGCATTTGTATTTGGATGTTCCTAACTCTAAGTCTAGAATTTTATTATTCACTAAGTCATACTCTCTAAATGGTCTGTATGATTTAGGCTTTCATCTAAATTATATAGATAATTTGCTTTGAAACTATTTCATTTGAGCTATGTAAATGGTGAATTTTTAGACTTAGAAGTGTCCCTTCTTTTGTTTTAAATAACATTCTCTTTTCATCCTCAGGGAAGGGAAAGATTGGCAGAGAGTAAGGAGTGCCTTTCAAAAAAAGCTAATGAAGCCCACAGAAATTATGAAGCTGGATGAGAAAATCAATGAGGTACTTGTTATTGAGGCTGCCCCTTGCCTGTGCTCCTGGATATAATGAGAAGTTTATGAAAACAAAAGTGCGATCCATAAGGCATGCTTTAGAAATGAGACCAACTTCTAGAGAAATCAAGGGAAATCCTTCTTTCCTTCCCACCCCCAACACCTTTGAAAAATATCCAAGTAATTTATGTAGAAGTGATATTTTTTACCCCAAATTCTCCAAGGAATTCTATCAGTTTCCTACTTTTAGTAGAATAGATTCAGATATGAGGAGGGTTCAGGATAAACACCCTGGAATACATTTCTTTCCAGAAAGAAAGTGCTAGAAATTGTTAGGTTTGTATCTGGTTTCATTTAGATCCTATGCAGCTCAAGAAATGCTCAGGAAAATAGATGCTTGAGCATAACTAATGTAAACATATCTTTAATTAAAGAAGATACCTTTGCTTTAAGGTGTTGTATGTCAGTTCTCTGGTAAAATGGGGAGGGAGATAGAATAAACACACACACACACACATATAGTGCCTACTATGTGCCAGGTATTGTGCTAAGCACTTTTTACAAATACAATCCCCTCCCAACTCTGGGAGGTAGGTGCTGTTCTCAAACACCATTTTGCATTTGGGGAAACTGAGGCAAACAAAGGTTAAGTGACTTGCCCAGGGTCACAGAGCTAGTCAGTATTTGAGGCTGAATTTAAATTCAGGCCTTCCTGACTCCAGGCCCAGCTCTATCCACTAAGCCACCAGCTACCTATCCCCAGCAAAGAAAGTCAGGAAGAGATGAGTTCAAGTGTTGCCTCTGACACATACTGGTTGTTTGACCCTGGGTAAGTCACCTAACCTTCCAATGACAAATACAACTCTTTTATACTATAAATTGCAGAGAAAGTACTATTGATAATCTCCTTACCCAGAGTTCCCTATACCAATGAAGTCAAGGGTCCATCCTAAAGAAAAATATTAGGCCTTAAGTAACAAAACTTTGAGAATTCAAATACCTCACCAAGATACTCTTCCTTACAACTTATCCCAGCGTAATCTTTAATTATCAGGTTTAAGTTCTGAAGTGATTTCTCTAGGCTTCCCTGGCTAATTGAGACATCAGTGTATCAGGAAATGCTGGCCACATGAAAGTTACTATATGTTTCCAAGGGAAAGCACTTGAATGCTGTTAAGTGCAGTGTATACATGTTTAACAAAGGGGCTTTTTATGCCATCCACCACTCACATGGTTCTAGCACTTTGGTGTGGACATTTTGTTTGATTTGATTATCTACTTCTAAAAGTCCTTGAACTAGACTTGGAAAGAAACTCAGAATCCTGGTCACCCCCTCACTTTGGGCAGCTGGGTTACACAGTAGATAGAGCACTGGGCTTGGAATCAGGAAGACTCATCTTCATAAGTTCAAATCCAGCCTCAGATACTTACTAGCTGTGTGACCCTGGGCAAGTCACTTCACCCTGTTTACTTCAGTTTCCTCACCTGTAAAATGAGCTGGAGAAGGAAATGGCAAACCACTCCAGTTTTCTTTGCCAAGAAAACCCCAAATGGGGTCATGAAGAGTCAGACATGATTGAACAACAACAAACCCCTCACTTTACTGAGGAGGAAACTGAGACTTAGAGAGGTCAGATGGCTTGCCCAAAGTTGTACAGTAAGTAGCAGCATTACTTGAACTAGCTGAATTAGAACTCAGCTCTCCTGACTGACTCCCAGCTCAGATCAGATCTATGAAAAGTTCTTTTCCAAATAAGGAAGTGGTAGACCTCAGAATAGTTACAATATCACAGCAGTTAGCCAACTAACCTTTTGGATGGTTATGCCTTGGCAGTCTAATTTCCATTGAGATCAGAGTAAATGTTTTCCTTTTCTTAAATTGTAAGCATCATTTTTAGATCAAAAGCTGAAACTTGATCTGTGGCTATTTGCAGGAAATCTTTGAAAGTCTCAGACAACAAGACTTATTTAGGGGACAAGGTGGGTTCTTATAGAAATACATAATTAGTTTACTTTGGGGGGCAAAGGAACCTCATGAGTATCAAATGCCACAGGAACTTAATTAAGTCCATGATACCATAAATGGTTTGCTCTTCCCATGTGTCCTTCTTGTTTCTTAGGTCTTGGTGGATTTTATGAAAAGAATAGATGATCTCTGTAATGAAAATGGCCAAATTGAAGACTTATATAGTGAACTGAACAAATGGTCATTTGAAAGTAAGCTTTTAAAGAATTTTTGTATGAGTTAAAAGAACTAAGGATCTGGTAATGTTATTGCTAATCACAATAATATAGGATTTACAAATGTTATGTACATTTTCACATTTTGCCCGTAACACTCTAACACAAGTGCTATTATTATCTCCATTTAGCAGATAGGAAACTGAACTTCAGAGATATTAAATGATTTGTCCAGAGTCCCACAGCAGTAAATGTCAGAGATAGGATTCTATCTCAGGTCCTCCTGCTTCCAAGTTCAGCGTTCATTCCACTACCCCACTCTACCATGTACATAGAATTTTTTTTTGGTTGGAAGGCAATCAACAAATATTATCTCACTAGGTATGATAAGGTAGATGGGAAAGGTATTTTTCCAATTTTAGAGAGGAGAAAACTGAGATTTTATTAAAGTGCCTTACACAATATTAAAAGGCTGATGTTAAAACTAGCTGAGTCCCAACCTAGGTTTGTCTTTCACCTAACCTAATCTCTTAGCCCTTTGCTCTTCCATTAAAGAAGACAACTCAGCCTTTCCATATTCATACTATTCTGTTCTCTAAGAACACTGAGAAAATTGGAGAAGGTGGCAAGTCTAGGGAATTAAACCTTGTCAGTCCATTGGAAATACCCACTTATACTGGCACAGTATGGAATCTAAAATGACAATACAAAAAAAATAAGGGAAGGTATGCATTCCTACATGAAGAGCCTATGTGCATGTTCCAATTCAAAGACTACTTGGGTCTGTTTTGCATGACATGTAATGGATACAATATATAAGGAAGAGAGAAATCAATACTCTGGCTTCTGCCACTAACAGAGCCATATTGATTTTCAGTATTGAGATGGAGCCACCAACAAGGTAATGTGAGATAGTGGAAGGAAGGATGGTCTTCAAGTCAGAAGACCAAACTTAAGTCTTGCTTTCAACAATTTCCATCTCTTTAACTCTGGGGAAATCACTTAATTTTCCTGCCCCTCACTTTCTTCATTTGCAGAATGGAATAACACTTGGCTTACCTCTCTCACAGAGTTATTGTGAAAAACAAATGCTTTGTAAGCCTTAAAGTAATATATAAATACAAACTATTATTATTTTATTTTGTGTTGGGATCAGATTTATTGCCATTATAGGTAGATCAGCCCACCATAAAAAGAAAAGTACGTTTCCTATTACTACATTTTACAAGAATGTCCTCCTAGCTATTTCATGGGACACTAAATGAGAGAGGAATATATTAATTTTAACGTGCCTTTTCATTAAAGAGCAATCTCCAATGCCAATCTATTTCGCACTGAGGGTGGTTGAAGTGATGGGACAAAGATCTTCATGTTAGTTGGTACCCTAAAGGTCAAATTGTCTTGCTCCTCCCATTACCAGTCTATCCCCATCAATGAGGATGCTGATGATAACTAACACTTAGAAAGACTAGTTGTCTGCCATTATGTATTATGTGTATACACAGACATATGCTTTAAACCAGGGGCTCTTGGGTTTTTATGTGTCATATAACCCCTTTGGCAGTCTGGTGAAACAGATGGACTCTTCAGAATAATGTTTTTAAATGGACAAAATAAAAAGACAGGATTATAAAGGAAACCAATTACATTGGAAAAAAGTTATCAAAATATTAAATCAAAAAGCTATAGATGTTAGTTTAAGAACCCCAACCTTAAATAATATAGGTTCAGGGAGGGGATATGGTATTTAAAGTTCTAGATGTGGAGTCAGGAAGACCTGAGTTCCAATCCTGCTTCTGACATTTAATAGCTCTGTGATTCTGAACAAGTCACTTAACCCTGAGCAAGTCTGCCTCAGTTTCCTCATCTTTAAAATGGGGATAATAATTGCATCTATCTCCCAAAGTTGTTGTAGGTATCAAATGAGTTAATCTTTGCAAAGCCTTCTGCAAAACTTAAACTGTTATATAAAGGCTAGAATTATTATTAATTTCAACTGAGCAAATATTTATTAAGCTTCTACTCTGTACAAGTCCCTATAATACACACTTAAGATAGAAAGCTGAATAAAATTTAGCCCTTTGCCCTCAAGAATGGCACAACTTAGCAGAAGAAGTAAAACAGAAACACAAATAGTTAAACTCCAATTCAGTTTTGAGCATGGTTAAGTGCCCAACAGAGCTACCAAGTGCTCTGCAAGGTCCAAAGAGGGAGACATTCCTTCTGGCTAGCAGGGGATGAGTGAAGGTTTCAAGGTTGTAGAAGCTGATGGAATGAGAACTTTGAACTGCTTTTAAAAAAAAGAATAAAAACATTTTCCCCTTAACTTCTCAACTCTTGACTCCTCTGGAAAACCATTGCAGTGTCTCCTAAGTCACAGGAGGTGGGACTTCTCCTGCAGTCCTTTGTTTTAGTGTTCAGGATTACTAGCCCTAAAGAGTAGAGCTTCCTTTGGTTGTATAGACAGGAGGACCAAAAAGTATCTGTGCAGGAGAGATGAGCCACTGATATCAGACAGACTCAGCCTTACAGTATTTTTGAACACCATCTTAAATCATCCTGATTAAATGATGGGAATCCTAAACTCAGTCATATTCCAGCAAGGAGTTTCTAAGCAAGTAAGGCCCTCGGAGGAGAGGCTGATTTCTCACCACAGAGGTGGGGTGAACCCTTCAGTTGCAGGGATCCTACCACTTCCCTCAGCTTGTTTTCCTTACTCTGCACCAGGCCATGAGAGGCCATTGAGTTCCTGGCTTCCTTGTTTGTTCTTGGAAAAGCCAATGCTTCCACAGGAGACAGAACTGAACCTTTAATAGCCAGATAATAACAGACTCCAGGGCTGTTGCTATTGTGTAACACCCATGCTCATTTTAAATGACAGGTATTTGCCTAGTGCTGTATGAAAAGAGATTTGGACTGCTGCAGAACAATGCCAGTGATGATGCTTTGAACTTCATTACATCCATCAAAACAGTAAGAATATGTTTGATGTATGGTTTTCCCTGGGTGGAGTTAAATCGCCAAATTGAATTATGAAATCATATATCTCTTAATTGTTTCGAATGAGAAGTTTCAAAATAACTCTATGGAATCTATTGTATCTACTCAATTAGAATTGATTTGGTAAGAAGCTTTTGCAGAAATTAAATTATATTCCATCCTGTTCAGGGTCTCCTGATCACTGTAGGACATATGACATAGTACAAAGAATCCTGAATTTGGAGCCAAAGGACCTGGGTTCAAATGCTGTCTCTGCCACTTTCTGCCTATGGAACCTTGGCAGGTCACTTAACTGCCTTGGGCTCAGTTTCCTCATCTGTGAAATGAGGGAATTGACTAGATGGCCTTGGCAGTCCCCTCTAGCTCTAGATCTATTCTGTGATGGTAGAGGAAGGTTTGGGAACAAAGACAAAAGACAACACCACCAACTTTAGAACTTTGAGGGATTGATTTTAGCTTGTATCAATCACAACGGAAACAGTGGTTGCTTCTAGTTATAACTTATCTAAAGTAAGGATTCATATGCAGTTTCATCTAGGAAGGATTCAATGTTTAGCATGCTTTTTTAATCTTTTAAAAAATATATTCATTTATTTATTTTTAGTTTTCAACATTCACTTATAAGATTTTGAGTTCTAAATTTCTCCCCTTCCCCAAGATGGCATGCAATCTGATATAAACTATGCAGGTACTCATATTAAACCTATTTCCACATTAGTCATGTCATAAAGAAGAATGAGAACCAAAGGGAAAAGGCATGAAAAGTAAAAACAAAAAAGAGAGAAACTAGTGTGCTTCAACCTGCATTCAGACTCCATAGTTCTTTCTCTGGATGTGGATAGCATTTTCTGTCATGAGTCTTTTGGAATTGTCTTAGATCCTTGCATTGCTGAGAAGAGCTAAGTCTATCAAAGTTTTAGCAAAGTTTTTTTTTAAATTCAATTAAATAGCTTTTAAATTCTGGCAGCAGAAGGTGGCACCAAGAGAGGAAAATTCAAGAAGTCAGGGAGGTCTGCATTCAAGTCCTACTTCTGACACATCCTGGCTGAATCTCCCTGGGCCTGAATCAAATTAAAATGTAACTGTGAAATGTCTGACAAGATAAATAAGAATACAGTACAACATAGATGATGTTGATTTGAGGTTTTCTAATCAATATGCTGCAGTAGGGATCCACTTCTATTTGAACTTGACACCACTGCTCTAAGGCCACTAGGCCATTCTCTGAGAAGGTGATGACCTGAATTGATAGAAGGACTTTTCTCATACTAAGGGAATCACAGATACCATGCCTACCACCCTACCCTATGACCATATGCCCTCTGAGGTCCGTTCCAACTCTTGAGAGTCTAGATTTTCACTAAGATTCATAATGCCATGGTTCTCTTTGGAAAGACAAGGAATGGAGATGTGTTTGCTTTCTCACAGATGATGAGCACTTTCGGGAGAATGATGGTGACCCCAGTGGAGCTTCACAAAACCCTGAACACCAAGGTTTGGCAGATGCACACTCAGGCCTGGGACGACATCTTTAAATCAGGTGAGAAGGTCCTTTCCTGAAGGCCTGACTGGATCCTCTCCCTGATAGACGTAGCTTGGGCAGCTCTGCTGAAGATGCTGTTTGCCTTCTTTGCCCAGCCTTCCTCATTGGCCAGTTCTGACTCATTTTGTTATTCTCTGACTTTCTTCTGCCTTTCTCTTGAGATTTGACAAGACCCCAGCAGCAGAGCCTTCTATAGGAATGATGATATGTAATTCAGTGTAGAACCCTTTAGGTTAGAGAGTAAGCTTCACCTTCCCTTCTCCACCCCAGATTGCCTGTTCGATAATGACAACTGTTTCTGTGTTTAGTAATACTATAAATGTAAATTCAAATCACACTTTACTGTTGCAAAGCTCTTTAAATAGAGGAGACAACATTACACATGAGAAAAAGAACAGGATTTGGAGGTAAGGCAACCTGGTATAGCAGAAAGCATGCTGGGTTTGGAGACAGAGGGCCTGAGTTCAAATCCTGTCTCTGACACTCTAAGGATCCTATGAAAGTCGCTTCTCTTCAGTGACCTCAGTTTACTACCCTGTTAAATAAGGAGATCAGACTAAGTAACTTCAAAGGTCCTTTGCTGCTCTACATCTGTGATCCTGTGAGTCAGAGGACCTGAGTTTGAAGCCCACCTCTACTACTAACTACCTGTATGACCTAAGCAAGTCTAGGCCTCAGTTTTCTTATTTGTAAAACCAGAAGATTGGATTCAATGATCTCAAAGACTCTTTTAACCTCATTTAATCTTCACAGCAAATCTGTGAGATAGGGAAGGCAGGGCTTACCTTGATACTTTGCAAAACTTCATGATGACTCCAGTATAGACATCCCTACCACTGACATAAAAAAAAAATTCTTCATGCGTGAATTACTGTGGCTGAAAAATGGAAATATGTTACAGTGGAGAATATTAGATTTGGAGTCAGGGGACCTGGGCTCAAATCCTGCTTCTGTTACTTATTATTTGTGTCCTTGGACAAGTTATTTGACTTCTCTGGGCCTCAGTTTCTTCATCATTAAAATGGAGAGATTGGATTTAATGACCTCTAAGTTCCCTTGAGGCTCCAAATTCTGTGATTCTGTGATCTTCTGGTGATATGCTTTGTGCATTTCCTTAGGCTGGGCCTCAGATGATAGACAAGGTCAAGCCTAGTCAAAGCCAGGTCTGTACTTATAGCCTTCCAGGATGGGAAGTCCTATGAGTGCTCATATTCTATTGCCATAGCCTTCAAAAGCCCACAGCCCCTGCTATCCTATAAGGAAGAATTTAATAGAGGAGTACGAGGATTATTAGAACCATTTTAGAGATAGAGACCAGACCTGTAATTTCACTGGTATAGGGAGCTCCCAGATGAGGAAATCCCCTTTACCAGTGCAGGTAGACATCTTCTCCACAACCTACAGTCTTCGAGAATTGCTGAGAGCTTTGAAAGATTAAGTGACTTGCCCAGGATCACACAGCCAGTATGTGTCAAAAGGAAGACTTGAACCCAGGTCTTCTTGGCTCCAAAGGCAGCTCACTATTCATCTAGCTATTCATCAGGTGGTGTAGTGGATAGAGTACTGGATTTGGAGTCAACAAGATCTGCATTTGAACCTATCTCAGACACATTAGACTGGAAAATTTTCTTTGTCAGCCTATTTCCTCCTCTTTAAATAGGGATAATAATAACACATAAAATTGAAGGCTTCTTTCTGCATTTGAATTATTCTTTACTCCTATTATGTTAACTACTTTGCTTAAGAGGCAGGCCTAAGATTTGCCTCTTTCATGAAAAAGAAGAGTCTGGAATTTCTTGTGTCCTCAAAGTACAATAGAAATCTCTCTAAGGCAGCATTCTCTCCTCTAGATAGGACTGGTAATTCAGTTGTGCTTTCATTTCAAATTAGTACGGGTTTCCCCTGTAGTCAAACATCCCACAACATGGCAGGGTGGTAGCAATGACTGAGGAGACAAAACCTGGGTTCAAACCCCACCTCTGGTGCTTGGACGTAATTTAATCCTCCTGGCCTCATTTTCTTCATCGTTATAGTAAGGGTATTGAATTAGATGGCCTCTGTGGACCTTCAAGGTCCATTAGTCTATAAATGCAAAGCAAGAGAATCAACTTTAGCCACATACATATTGTATGTTAGCTTTTCCTTCCCTAACATCTACCCACAGGAGGCCCTGAAACTTGGGGGTGGAGGGGAGGTAGGAAGCAGGAGAATGAATCTTTGGGCAGCCACTTGGTTCAAGATACTGAGTGTAGGCATTAGTCTACTGAGAGCAAGAGTTTCAGACCCCACCTTGGCTATGAGCCAATCATTTCTGCTCCTAGTAGGGATCTGCACAGGAGTATCACTAGGTCCCTAGAAATAATAATGAAACACATAAAAATATAACTAATGGAATACAAATGTGTTTTGGGAAAAGAACCTTCTACTGGGCACATGGCCCAGTACATGTTTGGAGGAGCAGCTAGGTGGTGCAATGGACAGAGCCCTGGGCTTGGAATCTGGAAGACAACTCTTCCTGATTTCAAATCTGGCCTCAGACACTTACTAGCTGTGTGACCCTGGGTAAGTCACTTAACCTTGTTTGCCTCAGTTCCTCTTCTGTAAAATGAGCTGGAGAAGGAAATGGCAGACCATACCAATATCTTTGCCAAGAAAACCCCAAATGGGGTCACGAAGAGACAGGATGTGACTGAAATGATTGAATAACAACAAAAATGTGTTTGGAGTGCCTGACGTGCCAGGCATATAGCTGACACTTCATAGGACCAATCTATGAAAAGGAATTGAATGAATTTGAAGAATTATCCCATTTAATATATATTTTATAGAAAAAGACATTGAATAAACATGATGTGTTGGCACAAAATGAAATGGAAGATATCGTGTGCCTTGCTCATGGTGTATAATACTTCCCCTGATAGAATATAAGCTCCTAGAAGGAAACAGCTCTTTATTTTTTTCTTTGGATCCCCAGTGCTTAGCACAGTACCCAGAGCATAGTAAGCATCCTAAACTTTTGGTGGATTGATAATAGTGTAGCCACTTAAATGCTTGTTGAATTGAATTGAAAGATCTTGTGATTCCCCATTGTCTTACTTGATATTCTCCTCTTGAATTAAATTCTGCTGCAGAAAAAATCTTGGCTTGGGATTTTAATTTAATGGCCCTTCTCCTATCCTAATTATAATTGTATAAACTCAATTCTCTCCTCTTCCTACAGTCAAATCATGCATCAACAGACGCCTGGAAAAGCACTCAGAGAATCCCAGTGAGGATTTTCTTTGTGATATTTATCACCAGAATCAGCTTTCTAAGAAGGAGCTGTATGCAGCCGTAACAGAGCTCCAGCTAGGTGCAGTGGAAACGGTGAGGCCCGGTTTGTCTCTTCTACATGGGGACCCAACAGTCATGTGGATGCTCCAGCCAAACTAAGTTTTATTTTTTTGTTTTGTTTTTTTTTAAACCATGAATTCTGTAGCTCAGGGGCTCTTAATCTTTTTGTGTCTTGGACCAATTTAATTATGAACAAGGCTATGGACCCCTTCTTAAAATAGTGATCTTAAATGTATAGAAGGAAAACCATAGTTTTACAAAGGAAAACAATTATATAAAATAATAATAACTAACATTTATATGGTGCCTACTACATACCAGGCGCTGTGCTAAACACAATAAATATTTCATTTTATCATCACAACAGCTCTAGGAGGTAGGTGCTATTATTATCTCCATTTTATATTTGGAGAAACTGAGGGAAACAGAGGTTAAGTGACTTACACAAGGTCACATATTTGAACTCAGTTTTTCCTCATGCCAGCCCCAACATTCTATCTACTGCGCCACCTAGCTGCCTATATTGGAATACAGCTAAAAGCATTTAAAAAAAAAATCACAGACCTTAGGTTAAGAACCACTGCTGTAGATAAAGATAGACTCCTTTGCAGAACAGAAATTCCACATTTTATTTAAAGTAAAAGATGCTTTAGACACTGGACCCTTGTCCCGTCTAATATGTGTTTTACAGAATCTTCTAACTGGTCTCCTTGCCTAAACTCTGTTCCCACTTCAATCCATCCTCTACTCAGCAGCTGAAGTGAATCTTTGTCAAGATTATGTAACCATGCCATGCCACTCCCCTCTCCCCCCATACACACAATAAATTCCAGAGGCTTCCTATTATATCCAGGATAAAATAGAAAATATTTTCTATATGAATATATAAATAAATATAAAATCCTCTGACATTCATAACCTGGCCTCTTCATATTTTCCTGGGCTTGTTATACTTTACTCTCTTTCATCCACTAGTGCTGGCCCAATGTAGACTCCGTGCCTTTGCACTGGATGATGGCCATGCCTGAAATGCTTTCCCTTAGCACTCCAGCCTCCTCGTTTCCCTGGCTCTTTTAGGACTCTACTGAAATCCCTACCTTCTTCAGGATGCCTCCCAATCGTTAGTGCCCTCCACTCACTCTCAGACTGCATTCCATCCCCTCCATAGATATCCTGCATGTACTTAATTATTTATATGTTGTGTCTTCTATTAGAGGATTGGCTCCTTGAGGGCAGGAACCATAGTTTTGCCTTCCTTTATATCTCCGCTTCACAGTGCAGTGCCTAGCACAGAGGGAGCACTTAATAAATGCCTTCTGTTGTCTGAGGACCAGCCTTACTGATCACTAAAGGAATGGAGACCAAGGAATGAAATTTTTTGGCCAGATTAACTTACTTAGTTTCTATAAAGTGGTAAAGGCATTGCAATCTGAATTAGTAGAGTAGTGCTTAGTAGGAACTACATATATGTTAGCTGTTATTATTATTCAAGTGAAGAATGCACTTAAATTGCTACATAAATATGAAAATTTGTCATTGTTATTGGAGAACCCATGGGCGTCTTGCGGCTCAAGAACCAGTCTAAGAATCAGAAAGTCTTGGGCTCCAAACCTGCCTTTGACTCACACCATCTACGTATCTTTAAGCAACTCAATTTCTGAGTGTGCTAGATAACTTTCTAAGGCATTAAATTGTAAAAGAGGAGCTGACCTACCTGAGAGGGAGTTTCCTCATGCAGGAATTCCCTATACCAATGAAATCACAGGTTTAGACCCTATCTCATTATTATTACAACATCCCTCCCCAATTTAACATTGATTCGCCTTCCTCAGTGCTGAGCAAACTACAGAGATTTCTCTCATTCTTCCTCTCTCTGTGGCATTTTGTGCTCCTTTGCAAAAATAATATTTCTCATGGCAGCTAGGCGGTGCAGTGGATAGAGCACTGGCCCTGGAGTCAGGAGGACCTGAGTTCAAATCCGGCCTCAGACACATAACACTTATTAGCTGTGTGACTCTGGGAAAGTCACTTAACCCCAATTGCCTCACCAAAAAATAATAATAATAATAATATTTCTCATACAGAAAAAGTGAAGGTGCTTGGTAGAATTGTATTTCTCAGTGGAACTAAGATGTTAATTCTAGTTTCTTATGTTTCAGGCTACCTGAAATGAGGTCTCACACTAGGTCACTCTCATAATAGAGGGCTTATCCTTGGACACTATTTCTGCCCTTCCCACAGTGTTGACTTCGCAAATTGTAACCAAGTTGAGAGTAAATTCAACTCAATTGCCAGCTTTGGATTCAAGAATGCTGGGTACCCAGATTAAGAAAACGATAGCTGCTTCTAGTATCCATTCTTTTACACTATTCATGGGGCTCATACTCAGTACCCAGGCCAGTTGGGCTGAGGAGGTTTCCTAGGACAGGTCCCAGTGGAAAAGTGCAGCCTGTCTTGGATACTTTTGGTGAAGCCTACAGTTAGCTGTCATTTGGAAACACTGGAGAGTATTTGTGGTCAAGGACTTATTGATATGGTTAGATCTGTTTCTTTATTTGGCCTGGCTATTCTGAAAGTCACATTTGGTAAATCTGAGAAATTTGAAAGCATATCTAATGTGGTGGCTATGCCTTCTTCCTGTTTTGCAAATTAGGCTATTACAATAATGCCTTCCACCAGAGTTTATTTGCAGCTGTAACCACCAGAATCTTGTGACTTGAAACAACCTGCCATCAAAGCCTCCTATTCCAAAAATAATAAATCTGATTTGCTTTGAGTCCTCTCCCAATGTGCTGTTTGGTCTGGGCATCACATGTATATTTTCAGAGAACTATACATGGCACTTGGCGAGAGTATATTCAGGTCTGTAGAGAGGTCACTCCGACTATTTCCAGAGGAATATATTGTCCAATTTAGCTACTGCAGCCCAACACCACACACCATTCACTGAAACCATCATAACTTGGCATGTGTTTTTGCAAAGGGCTGGACGGGCTGTCTGGGCCATTTTCCCCACCCTTGTCTAGTTTCCTTTGGAAAAGAAATAAGTGATGCCATTTTAAAAAATGAAACAAGCTTTTATTAAGAACAAGTGGAAGCCAGAATTTCGTATTTTGGTAGGAGCCATGGTTAGGGGCAGCATCTTTGTTTATGTAGGAATGAACTTTCCAAGGGATGAGAAAAAAGAGATGGATTTTTTTTTTGGTAGCTCACATATAAGGGGCAGCATCTTTGTTTATGTAGGAATGAACTTTCCAAGGGATGAGAAAAAAGAGATGGATTTTTTTTGGTAGCTCACATATAAATCTCACAGAGATTTTCTCATGACTACCCTGTGAGGTAGGCAGGTAGATAACAAAACTATCCCCATTTTACACATGAGGAAACTGAGGATAGAAGAGGGGAAGTGACTACCTAAAGTAAATTTTTACTGTCAGAAAGGAAAGTGATTATGAATCCACTAGATGGTAAACTACTTGATGATAAGGACTATGTTATTTTATATATAGTCCCTTGTATATAGTAGGTGTTTAATAATTGTTGGATGGAGTTGCATTGAATTTTCAGTATAAGATAATCTCTTTTTTAATTGCATTGTCCGGACCTATGATTTCAATGGTTTAAGGAACTCCCAGTGAGAAATTGCCCTCTACCAGTATAGTTCGACAATTGTTCTATAATTTATAGTGTTAGAGAAATGTCTGTGGTACTCTAAGAGGCAGGATGGCTTTGCAATATATGTCAGAGATGGACCTTGAGCCTAGGTTGAGCCCAGGGCTTTCTGACTTCAGTTTAGCTTGTTGTCTACCATACCATTTCATTTGTTGTGGTTGTGGAGTCGTTTCAGTCAGGTCTGATTCTTTGTGACCCCATTTAGGGTTTTCTTGGCAGAGATATTGGAATGGTTTGCCATTTCCTTCTTCAGGTCATCTTACAGATGAGGAAACTGAGGCAAACAAGGTTAAGTGACTTGTTCAGAGTCACACATCTAGGAAATATCTGAGGCCCCATCTGAATTCAGGAAGATAGTCTTCCTGACTCCCAGGCTGGCATTCTATCTACTCTGCTACCTAACTGCCTATATCACTCCATACTCAAACCCTTGTTTTAAAGCTCTATTAGCAAACAATCTGTCATGCCTCCCAATCATTCCGACCCCGTACTACATATGCCTTCCTAATTTTAGAAGAGCTATTTTAGTTGGGAATAGGAAGAATGTGGGAAAAAAATTCACAGCTTGGGGTCTGGATATATCTCAATTTATACAACAGATGCTTTTCCTCAAAGATATATGAATTGAGGCATGTTTTTAAATGCACGAAAGAAGCTGAGAAATCACACCCTGTTTTTGCTTAAAACTGGACGCTTCTATAACGTACAATAAAAAGAGCTAAACTTTCCATCATAGCCAGAGGGTTCTGACAGCAGGTGGCTTCAAGGCAAGAAGGTCTTTAAATGCAGATACTCATGGCACCACAGTGTAGAGGAAAGAGTATGGGATTCAGAGTCTGTGTGTGCGGTGTTTGAATCTTAGCCCTGCCATTTACTACCTTGGGCAAGTCTCTACCCCCTCTGAGCCTCAGTTTCCCCATACAATGAAGAAGTTGGAGTTTCAGATCCCTTCTAGTTCTAAACCTATGATCCTAAGATAATGAGTACATTAAGATTTGCAAAGCACTTTACAAAGTAAGTGTTGGAGGCAGAATTAGAACTCAGGTCTTTTCGATGCCAAATACTGTGCTCTATTCACTGAATCACTTACCTGCCTTTATGATGGTGTCTATTTGCATTTCAGACGGCCAACAGCTTATTGTGGGTTCTGTACAATTTATCTCGAAATCCCTGGGTACAGAAGAAGCTTCTTGAGGAAATAGAAAGAGTTTTGCCTGAACAACAGACACCCAATGCAGAGGACTTGAAGAATATGCCTTATTTAAAAGCCTGCCTGAAAGAATCAATGAGGTAAAATACATATGCCCACTGCCAGAAACACAATCTTAATTGTCTAAGTTGTGGTGAAAAATTGTTTTTTGCCTTATTGACTCATGATTTAATATCTCATCTCCTCTTGCTCTTTTCCTCCCTCTCCTGCCCCTCCCATATTCAGAGCACCCCAGATGGAAATGAAAGTTAGTTTATGAAAACAGAATTTAAAGAGGCCTTGATGCATTATGAGAAGTGGACTGAATTTGGAATCAGAAGTTTTGGGTTCAAATCCTGACATAGCACCTTGCTAACTGTATGGCCTTGGCAAAGTCACAACTCTCTGGGCCTCAGTTTACTCACATATCAAACAAGACAGTGATCCCTACAATCCTTACCATCTCTAAATCCTATGAACCTTTAAATCACATTCTTGTTCTCCATTTTTCATGAAAGGCTGGGCAAGTCATATGTGTTCTATCCTTCATCTCTAAGTTCAAAATAATAATAATAATAATAATAATAATGCTCGCAGGAATAATGGGAGCATTGATTAATTAGCTTGGAAGCATGTTTTTAGGCCCAGGGAGATGAAATGATTGACCTAAAGTCACACAGCAAGTTAATGACAGAAACTGGATTAGAACCCAAGTCCTTTAACTCTCAAGTCATTTATCTTTTCACAGCCCTACACTGCCTGATTCATTTGATGAGAATCTAATTCCTATTAATAATTGATATAGAATTTAATCACAGCCCAACTTTGATGACCTGTACTTGTTTTTTTTAGGCTAACACCATCTGTGCCATTTACAACTAGGACTCTTGACCAAGAAATGGTTCTTGGAGACTATGCATTACCCAAGGGGGTGAGTAGAACTTAGGGGTTTTGTTATTAGCACTGATTTGAAAGAGACTCCTAAAGAGAAGTGGACATAGCTTTTGAAAGTTTCCTTCCAGGAGAGTGTCAATTCAGACAAAAGGGGAAAATATCATGTTTAAGGTTTATTTAGCAGGGTTAAGTATTGATTGTTAGATGTACAAATATTGGTGAAAGGAAGTACAGCACAGAAGAAAGGGCATTGGATTTAGAGTCAGAGGGGCTCTGGTGGTGTTCCAGCTATGAAACTTACTAGCTATGTGACCTGGGATGTGTCACTTCACTTCTCTGAGCTTTGATTTCTACTTTTTCAAAAAAGGGTGATAATGCTTATGCCACACATCTCAGAAGGTTGTTATGAGAAAACAATTTGGAAAAAAACCTAAATTATGTATTATCAGTAGTAGTAGTAATAGTTGTTGTTCTTGTATTTTTATCACTTCTCCTGAACCTTCCCTTATGATTAACATGAATGATGTGCGTATTTTTAGACAGTTTTAATGTTAAATACTCAGTTCTTGGGATCTAATGAAGAAAATTTTGAAGACTGGAGTCAGTATAAACCAGAACGCTGGCTTCAGGAAAAGAAGAAAATCCATCCTTTTGCTCACCTGCCGTTTGGTATTGGGAAGAGGATGTGCATTGGGCGGCGCTTGGCTGAACTCCAGCTCCATTTGGCTCTTTGCTGGGTAAAACTTACTTCTTGAAGCTTCTTTCTTGGCCAAGAATTTCTATCACAATGAACCTTGGATGATTCTGCAAGGAAGGAAAGACAGTGGGTAATTCTGTTTCTATGTCATTGTGTGTTCCAGATTGTACGAAAATACGACATTGTAGCCTTAGACAACAAGCCAGTGGAAATGCTGCATCTTGGCATCCTGGTCCCCAACCGGGAACTTCCCATAGCTTTCTTGGCACGATGAGGTACTTCAGGTGAGTGACTGTCATGTTCTCTTCAATGAATGAGGGGAGAAGTGCTGAGCTTTGACATAATGGTAATAATTCCCATTTAAACACAGCACTTTCTTCATCACCACTCTATGAAGAGTGGTTGATGTAATTATTATCACTTGACAATATGCGAGAATTGAGTCTGAGGTTGTTGAGGGAGAGGGGAATGATTTGTCCAGGGTCATACAATTATTAAGTGTCAAAGCCAGGACAAGAAAACATGTCTCAAAACTCAAAATTATTTTTATTTTTCCTAACCTGGGTTATATTAAATGTTGCCTTCAAGTATTACAGCCTTTAATGGGAAAAGTTCTTGGTCTCAGAAGATCTGAATTCAAGTTCTGCCTGAAATACTTACTAGTGAGGTGACCCTGGAAAAGTCATTTTATGTCTTTGAGCCTCAGTTTCCTCATCTGTGAAATGATGAGGTTGGATGTAATGGCTTCCAAGGTCCTTTTCAGCTTTAAATCTATGTTCCTGTGTTAAGTCACTTTAGTCTCTGTAAGCCTCAGTTTCTTTAACTGTAAAATTGCAGTAATAATACTTATCTCACAGAGCTGTTTCAAGAAAAAGCCTTTGTGAACTGAATAGAACATGTGAATTATTCCATCCCTATTATTCTGTTCTCCCATCCCTCAGTACTTCCCCCCGATTCCTTTTGTATATTGATTGTCACTGCCTTTTCAGGTACCTATTTTCCTCCCTAGCTGTTCAAAATTACATGTTTTCTCTCAGTTCTAGGACACTTCTAGAAACTATTTCACAGTCCCAGGCAGTAGAACATCTAGTTCAATTGACTCATTGAACAGATAAAGGAACTGACCCACCAATTAAGAGGCAATACGCTGATTAGCAAATTTGGGGAATTTCACTGAACTTGAAGTCAGGAAATCTAGATTTCTCTTCCTCTAATCAGCTTTATAGCCTTGGGAAGTCACTGCTCATCTCTGAGCCTCAGTTTCCTCCTCTGTAAAATAAGGATAACAATACTACCAACCTCATAGGTGATTGCAAGGAAAACACATGACCAATTTTGGCATTCCATTTAAATCTGAGTTATTCAGTTCTCTTCAGCCATAAAGTAGGCATACTACCTACCTTGCAGAGTTGTAATGGAAATGATTCATAAACCTTTATGCAGTATAAATGATTATTATAGAAATATAAATTATTGTTATTATTTATTAAGTAAACACGGAGTTATGGGAAAAACGCACTGAGCTAAGACCAAACTCTTACTTCATTCCTCTCTCCAATAACAACACATACACATACACACATTTCTTATCTCTTTTGAACCCTAGTTAGATTTGTCACATTCTAAGAAGACTTTCTTAATCAATGAGGGAATGGGGTTAGATCTCATCTCAGGAATAAAAGGTTACAACCATTTGTAACTTTTTATTAGGAGAGGGAAGGGGGGAAAGGGAAGGAGGGTATGTTGTCATTATGAGCTACACCCTCAGAAAAAGCCAATGGCAGTTTTTGAAGATCTATGAACACATAAAGCACAGGAAGAAGAATAACTACTAGCTTATACTACATTCCCCTTATTTAAATATTTTTCTTTGATCTGTAATTGCAGCCTAATTATTCTTCAGCTTCTCTACTGAGTACCAAGAAGAGCATTTTTTGCTTATGCTCAAGACTGGTGTTCAAACTACTGGATGATCAATGAAAAAGACTACTTTTCAAGAGCAGCAGATGGCATTCACAGGGCATTTAATCCCTATCTTAGGTAGACATTCTTTTCTCCCATATCGTCTTTCTAATACCTCTGGCTTATGTATGAATGATAGTATTTATTTTTACTATAACCAACTCAGAAAACTGTATTGAATGCTGGAATACAGGGTATTTTATCTTTATATCAGGTCAGTAGTAAGTAAAAGCAATTATTACTGTCTAAAGGTGCCCTGACTTGAATTAGCTTTGGTCTTATCTTGGTAAGTGAGCCAACCTTTCTATCTAACACTAGGGATTCTCTCATGACCTGAAAAGGGAGGAGGAGGGGTCCTGAGAAAGTGAGACAGAAGATGGCAACTATCTTTGTCCTTACCTTAGGGGGGTCTTAAGCTTCAGATGGGTGAATCTGGGACATCTCCCTATATATAACTCACAGCTAAAGACCAAATGTTATCTGGGGCAGAAAAGAAATATCAGCAAATCTATAAACTAAAGCTCAGTTTATACCTCTATTGTAAATATATACTGCTTCAATATTTCAAGGGTTTGTGATTTCATCTGTGTGGGAAATTCACCATTGATTACAATCTCTCTGTGTTTTAAGAAAAAAATCTATCATCCAGAGTCAAGCATTTTGAGAAGGAGGCTTTCTGAATTTAGCTAGACTCAGCCTTGCAGGACAGACACAGTTTACAAGACAATCATTGAATAACTTAATCAGTATCAAGAGAATGTTAACTAAAGGGTCAGCACCCATAAAAGTATTGGCTAAGCCTACCTCCCTTCTGATAAATTTAAGGATAAGTTGGATAAGGATAAAATTAAGGATAAGTTGGAAATTTTTAAATATATATATATATATATATATATATATATTCATATATCTTTAACCAATACAAAGATTATTCTTTTAAACAGGTAATTCACCTTGAAAACCTAACTGTAAAAATTATTAATTTGCTAATTTTTCCTCCCTTTTGCTTTGTGGTTTATAACCATTATACCATAGGCAAAGACTCAACCTTTTAGAAAATGTAAAAGCCTAGCAATTTTATTAAATTTATTCATTTAAAACAAGGATCACTTTTTCCTTTGACTTATTTTTATAATAATGATATTAGTGAATTTAGGATCTGTCAGATTGGAGTGAGAGCTTGGATGTTTGTCTCAGCCCAACAAAGATTTAATTCATGACTTCAGAAAAATAATTTACTTTACTTCAATTTTCCCATTTATAAAATGGAACTTTAGTAGGTCCTATATGTCTAAATAATAGTTCTTAAACTTTTTTGTTCATGTGTTATATTTTGCTTTGAGAAATACCAATGTATTTATGAGAGGGCCAAAAGATTCATACATTCCCTCATAATTGCAAATGTATGTTCTGTCTAATTCCCTGCACCTTTAGAAGAAATTTATGCCATCCCATGGCATACCTTTTAAGAACCACTGTACTTAAGGACTGTATTGAGGTTTATTTATGCAACATTTCTTAGGTGCTTTTGAATTCTTCAAAAGAAGTGAAATTATACAATGCAAAATATCTAAAGATTCTTGTCATACAGACAGTACGAAGTAAGCCAATTTTGCTTATGTTTATATTTTTATATGCTCCTGTAATTAGTTTTTCTTCTAAACGTATTGATGTACTTCTAATAAAGTTTATATTTTTAGTAAATGACATATTCTTAACCATCAGAAATGCAAAGCTTTCACATCCATGAACATGTGTATATCATAAAAGCAGTTCTGCATTTTCTCCATATTATTTTCATAATTACAATTATACTTGTACTATCCAAAAATGCTTTTGTATATCATCTGTGACCTCTGGGGAAGCACTGTAATAAAAGTGAAATTTTAAAACACTTGAGACATAGACATTTTTAATTTGCACTGGACACAGATACAGCACAAAGCAAGAACATGGCTTTTTTGTCTTATTAACAAATATGTTTTTGTTAGTAGTCATTTTATAAACAATAATGTGAGTCCTACTCTAAGGAAGTCTGGCATATGAAAAGTCATACTCTAAAAACTGATAAATTAGAGGGTGATAAGAACATTAAATATACATTATTACTACATCAAAAGAACCACTGCAGGATTGTTATATTGAGTTCTCTTTATGTACTTAAAATCTTTCTACTTCAAAAAATCTGCTTTTTCTACAACACTTCAAGAATATGTATCTTGGATAAAGAGTGAGGTACCCATCCACAGTAATAATAATAACTGACATTTATATAGCACATCAAGATTGTCTTTTTTTTTCTTTCTGGCTAAGCAATGGGGTTAAGTGACTTGCCCAGGGTCACACAGACAGTAAGTGTCAAGCGTCTGAGGTCGAATTTGAACTCAGGTCCTCCTGACTCCAGGGCCAGTGTTCTATCCACTGCATCACCTAGCTGCCCCAAGATTTTCATTTTTATATTACGCTTTGCCAATTATCTCATTTGATCTTTTCAAGAAATTCTCCAAGATAGATGCTATTATTATCCCAGTTTTAAAGATGAGGAAAAAAAACTTAGGTAATTTGCCCATGGTCATAGAACTAATAAATGACTGAACCAGCATGCAAATCTAGGTCTTCCTGCCTCCAGACCAGCCCTCTACTGTTACTCCATGTTGTTGCCTCTCACTAGGAATGCTTGAAAGACATCACTATTACCCACTCCCCATAAAAATATCTGCCCTCACTCACCTTACCAAGTCCCCTATAGCCTTCTAGTAATTAAATTACCAGCAGAAACAGAAGTAGCATCAATAATGGCTTCTTCCTAATTTATAGATCATTATCATTTTTAGTAGTAGAAAGGCAGTTTGCCATAGTGGAGATGGAGTCAAGAAGCACTGGGTTCAAGCCCCACTTCTGAAACATTCTGGCTAAGTGATGCTGGATAAGTCACTTAAGATCTTAGTGTCCTCAGCATAAATTTCGGTAGGTGAAATTTATATAGTGTAACAGTATAAATGTTAAAGCAGGTGCTGATGTGAACTGGTAAAGGAAGTTCCTCCCCAGGAGTTCCCTACATTCCAGTGAAAACACAGGTCAAGTCTTTTTTTTTTAATCACTATTAATTAGAAATGACAATAAACATAGCTAACCTTTGTATACGACAGATAGGTGGTGCCTTGGATAGCATGCTGGGTCTGAAGTCAAAAAGGTACATCATCCTGAGTTCAAATCTGGTCTCAGATACTTACTAGCTGTGTGACCCTGGGCAGTCACTTAACCCTATTGCCTCAGTTTCCTCATCTATAAACTGAGTTGGAGAAGGAAATGGCAAACCACTCCAGTATCTTTGCCAAGAAAACCCCAAAGAGTCAGACATAACTGAACAACAATATGCTTTATATAGCCCTTTACTGATTAAAAAGTACTTACGTGTATTATCCCAACTGGGCCTCACAATACCACTACGAGGAATATAGTGCTTGTATTGTTATCCTCATTTTAGAAGTCAGAAAACTGAAGAAATTCAATAACTAGTAACTAGCAGAACGAGTCTCAAACTCAGGCCTTACTTGGGGAAAGTTGATTGCTTTCCCCACTATACCACAGTGTCTCTACAAAGTACCAATGACTTGCACATCACATCCAGACTTAATTCATAGACATCTCTCTGCTCACACTCAACCTCTCGATTTTGAGATTTCCGTTACTAGAGACAGAGGCTTAGATCTTTTAAGAACAAGGCAAAGGATAGTCATTATGACAACCCCAAAAGATAATTGGGAAACTTTTCCTAACAGTCTCAAAAGATATGTCCATCGATATCTCTCATAATGAAATTCCTGAGCCCTTCTAATCAGGAATTGCTCACTAATGATGCATAGCAAATCCACCCTGCTATAGTTCATGCCATTTCCCTTCTTGCTACAGACTCAGTAACAGCAGGGGATAGTTTGTAGCCACCCTTACCAGTAGGATATTCCTTTATTTGTAAACTAATATTAAGTCCTCCTTTACCAGGCTGTGACTCCCTTTCCTTTAGACTACCTGCCTCAAAGATGGCCCCAAGTTATAGGTCAACTCTATGCACCTTCAGAGTCCAGTGACCATTTAAATGGACTTAATTACAACCTCTAACAACATATGCTAATGATGCATTTTACATGCCTTTACTTGCCTTTGGGGTGTATATAGAATCCTGAGGCAGAATGGTACTGGATTCAGAGGACTAGAATGTTGAATTGGAAATGAGGTGGCCTGGGTTCTGTTTCCAGTGTTTCTACTTCCTGTGTGCATCTGAGCAAGTCCTCTAGCATCTGAGCCTCAGTGTCCTCATCTGTATAATGAGAGGATTGGGCTCAATGATTTCTAAGGTACCTTCCACACATTTTCATTAGAATATAAGAGCTTACAAACATAGATTGGTTTATTCTTTGTACTTGTATCCACAGAACCTAGCATAACTCCTGGCATGTAGTGGGTACTTAAAAATATTTCATGAATTGATTCCAGTCCCAGATCTGTGAAAATGGAGAACTGGACCAGATGATCTCCAAGATTCTTTCCAATTCTAAATCTAAGATCCTAGATCCCTACAGTTTTAGAGCTGAAAGGGAACTCAGACAAGTCTAGTTCAGCTCCTAAATTTCACAGAAGAGAAAACTGAGGTAAAAATACTAGTTCAGATGACTTGCCTATGACAAATTAGTGGCAAATCCAAGTTTAGATCCAGATCTCCTAACTTCCAGTCTAGTACTCCTTCCGCTCTGTTAATTAGAACATTATCTAAGAGAACAAAAAACAGGTGAAATTCCATTTTAATAAATAATATGGGGCAATTCATGAAAGAACCTATTGCAATACCACCACTAATGTCCTACTATTTATGCTTCATTATGAGATGGAGGTGACCTTGATCAAAGCTATTAATAGCTCAAAGACTGGTTTTCGTCCGTCATGCTAGAAGACCAAAATGACATCAATATGTTGGAATCAAGGTACAGTGTGTCTGACTGTGTCTGATCAGACCAATACGAGCTTGGAAGGATCTACCACAGGCTGGGCACAAATAGTCCATATGAAATTTGGAGTGGAGATGTCACTAAATTTGCTTATCTCACATTTCTTTTGAGCTACTGCAATTCTGCTTTGCTCATAGAGCACACTGCCTGCTTTGATGCAGGGGCACCACCCTGGACAGTCCTTTGCCAGTATCTCCCATGTCACACAATTGATTCCAAAGTTCTTCAGAGGGACTTTAAAAGTGTCCTTGTATCATTTCTTCTGACCACCATGTGAGTACCTCCCTTGTATGAATTCTCTTTAAAATAGTCTTTTAGGAAAATACACATTTGGCATTTGAACAACATAGCCAGCCCACCAGAGTTGTGCTCTCTGCAGTACAACTCTGCAGTAAAACAAGTTTGAATGCTTGCTGGTTTACCTTGAGAAAGGACTTCGGTATCTAGTACCTTATCTTGCCAGGTGATCTTCAGAATCTTTCTAAAACAATTCAAATGGATTTGTTTCAGTTTCCTGGCATGGTGCTGGTAGATCATCCAGGTTTCACAGGCATATGATGAGGTCAGTGTGACAGCTCTATAGAGCTTTGGTAGGTAGTCTAATATCTCTCTCTCTGGAAGAAAGTATAAAGAGCTCAAAGACTATTAATACAAGGAGACTATAAACTCTGTCTAATAGGTTCTACCAAGTTGTAAAGCTTTGGCAACTGTGCTCAAAAGAAAACAGCACAAATCTGTGCTAAGAAAAATTATAGTTTTGCTATCCAAGGGCCGGTGTAGCTAAACTTAGAATCTAATAATGCAAATATTGGCCACCAGGTGATTGTTTAGGGCATATTGTTGCATTCGACCATCTACTAAAGCATCAAGGACTTTCAATCCACATCAGTGGACAGATTCCCTCCACAGATGAAATCACTGATCTAATGTAACATGGGGAGATATAGATGAATAAGACCCTTCTCTTAAAAAGGTTGGAGACTAACTGAGGTTCTAGGAATCATTTGCTCACTATAGTAAATGAACAAGTGAAGGGACATGTTCTGAATCCAATAGGGGAGAATAGCAGGGCGCAGAAACTTCCAGACATATGAAGTAAATGAGAACTTTTAAGTTAATCATAATTGGAGATCTAACTAGATATCAACAATTCAGTTTCCCTATCTATGCCTATGCATGGATCTCCTCCAATCTGTATCAATCTATTAATCAACAAGCATTTATTATGCTACCACTATGTGCCAGGCACTATGCCAGGTTTTGTAGATTCAAAGACAAAAATGAAATATTTCCTGCCTTCAAGGAACTTGTATTCCATTGGCAAAGACCACAAACATATATCTAAGTATATTAAAAAGGTGTATCAAATAAACACTGGGATTTGGGGGAGGAAGGCACTAGCAGCCATGTTGCTCCAGACACCTAACAGTGGAAGTTCTCCTCAAGGCTCTGACCTTGGCCCTCTTTTCTTTTCTCTCAATACTCCTTTCCTTCTTGACTTGATCTACTCATATGCCTACAATTAAGACAGCTACTGAATATATTTCTCCAGCCCTGACTTCTTCCCAAAGCTCCAAGAATACATTTCTTAGGCTGGTAGACTTGGAGTAAAGAAGACCCAAGCACAAAGTTTTCCTCAGACACTTACTGACTGTGTGACATTGGTCAATTTAATCTTTGTCAGCTTCAATTTTCTCATTTGTAAAGTAGCATCTACTTCAGCTGGGTGGCACAGTGAGCCAGGCCTGGAGTCAGGAAGACCTGAGTTCAAATACAGCCTCAGACACTTACAGCTGTGTGACCCTGAGCAAATCATATAACCTGGTCTTAGTTTCCTCATCTGTACAATGAGCTGGAGAAGAGAATTGCAGATCAGTCCAGTATCTTTACC